ACGAGCAAATTATCAGATATTAGGAAGCCTTGCGAATGATTCTCTGACGGAGGGAAACTAATCAGATATTCGCGAGAAAACATCGAAGAAAAATCCGGACAAACAGTTGAACTGGCGAACACCTTTTGGCACCACAGGAAACAAAGGGATAACGATCATTTCAGCCCACACATATGAGAACGTGTAACCAAGTGGCTTTAAGCTACGACATCGGCGCAAGTTTTCAAGACGATTTTGTTTCACCTATCCATACAAACAACAGGGACAACTTGTACCTGCCAAATTAGTGACCTTATGGGTTGATGCGTCAAACAGCCGATTTCCATTTGTTGAGAGTGAGGGCCGACAGAGAAATCAGCTTAAGAATATGAATGAAGTCCCGACCACCTCCAAACAGTCAAACGACATATACACTAACTCAGATGGAAGACGCTGCTTCTGGTTACGCCAAGCTCTCAAGGTAAACCTGCGAAAACTTGCCTCATTACTTATGGTTAAAGCGATACTATGGAAAAGTGCTTTTTGCCCACAGGCAAAAAGTCATGATTGCAATAATTCAAGTGGCATGTGAGCTTCAATCATCAGCTGATTAGAACAATACCCCTCTTCCGGGAAGACATTTCTGTGGTTGATGCCCACAGGCATTCTTTGAGCTTGGTAGAAATAATCCTTCCCCGTTCAATAGTTAAGGAAACAGTGAAAGTTTGGAAGTGTTCTGACGCTAGGAAAACGCTTGCGGATTTGTTTAACGGAAATGGATTTTCTCAGTGGCTAGATGTAGAAATAATCCTTCCCCGTTCAATAGTTGAGGAAACAGTGAAAGTTCGGAAGGGTTCTGACACCAAGAAAACGCTTGCGGATTTGTTTAACGGGAATGGATTTTCTCAATGGCTAGATGACATCCCAAGTGTGAATGTTAGAAGACTGGCGAGCACAACACTTCAGCGACAAATGTATTCAAAGACAAACGGATAAATTCATCTCCCGGGAGTTTGGTGAGACGAACCTCTAATTGAGATACTGTTTATTCTCATTGGTTGAATTTTACTCGTATGACGTGCTAAGCTGCAGAAAATATAATGTCAAGCTGCTCTTCCTGTCTAACAGTTCCGGAATTGCTAGATCTTTTCGACACAGTGCAGCGAGGGTACCGCACTTTAGATGCTGATGGTAAAGTCCAATCGGTGGACGATGATATTCGACCAAGGTCGCATGTTTAAAATCATCCATGTAAATATTAGTCAAATGTGAATATATTGGAGATTCTCATAAAGGAAACTACTCACAAGGTTGCTGTAAACTCTTCGACAGCCCACGACCGGTTTCGCCCTTCTTGGGGCTAATCAGGTAGGCCCAGTCCCCGAGTTTCCGTCAACCTTGTGAGTAGTTTCCCTTATGAAAATATACTGCGATCTCTCGAATATCATGCCAACTGAATCGTGAGGTGGCCTGTGTGCAGCACATTCAGCTGGAGGACATCATAAACGAGAGATTCAATTGAGTCTCCAGTGAAAACCATATTAAAGATTCCATTGCAAGACCTTGTTCTTTTGAGCAAACAGCTGTCAAGAGCAAACTGGTCAAGGTTCAACCACACTTTTATGCCCTCCACTATCTCATCCAATGACAGCTCTGTGTTTATCAGACACTTGACCTTTGACCTGATGGACGAAATTCCACTCTTCCCAAAATGGACAGGAAATTTTTGCAGCTCTTAAGTGGAATCGGTTGTTTCGAAACTGGATGGCATGAGAGTTTCCATTGTGTCGGAACACTGAAGTTCCTCTACATCGGAATGTAGCTCAAGTGTAACATGGTAAATAATTATATTCACGGTGGACGCTAAGCTCAAGGGTGGTTGGTCCAATTCTCATAGCCACTGGTAAGGACGCTTCAAACTGGTGTGAGCTCAGTTGCGCGGTTTTTTGTTCACCCCGAAGCTTCATGTCCTTAAACAAGTATGGTGGGTGGGATGACCTTGTTACCTCGTTCGAAAAGACGACAGCAGATACTGGCCACTTATTGTAAAGCTGTTACCGGATTTTAATATATGGGTTGGAGAAGCATGAAAAAATGAAGAGGCCACAACAATTTCTGGAGATTTTTCCTGAAGGCGCGTTGCCTGATAATGTGCACGCACCTCAAGCGGACAAGTAAAAATAGATTAAATTGTCCAGCCGCCGGATGTACCCACTAGGGCCTAATGACATCAATCTGTCCTAGGGACGTTTATTACAAGTGCATCACGTTCAAACATGGAGTTAACTGAATGACTGCTTATTAACAAAACACAATCAGTTCCGCCCTTCTTGGGGTTTATCAATTAGGCGCATTTGTCGAGTTTCTGTCAACTTTATGTCCCTCATTAACCAAAACTGAACACTCGTTTGCGTATCAATTTGTTCTTCACGAGAGACTCGACTGAATCTCTTGTTTACTACATTCTGCAACTGAATATGCTGAACGGAGGTAGCCTCATGTTTCAGTCGGTACGATTCTCGAGATATCGCAGTATACTTTCGTAGGGGAAACTACTCACAAGGTTGCTGAAAACTCTTCGACAGTTCACGAGAGTCGCCTAGTTTAAGTAGAACATAAGGTTGACCAAAACTCGGGGACTGTGACTACCTGAGAAGTCCGGAAAAGGGAAAATCCGGTCATGGGCTGTCAAAAAGTTTTCAACAAGTGAGTAGTTTCCTTTATGGGAAAAGAACAACCCTCCTAAAAACAGCAATTCAGTCCAGTTATCAATGCCTTTCAATTCTTCAGAGCGAGCCCAATCATGTTAGGAGCATTATCCGATGTGCAGACGGGTGAATAAGTACGTATTATCCTTTTTAAGTTAATGGAAATTCTGGTTGCTATGTCAACTGAGCCAGACGATAGGCGATACATTTCCGGGGTGGTTCCTGACTTCGGTTGTTCGTTATCTTTTCCCCCCAAGTAGAACCTGAAAATAGCTTCCGATGTTTGCCAAAGTTTCTCATTGGCGGACTAGTTTGGTTTCACAGGAAGCTAACTTGAATCCCAGACCATTCTCTCAAGAAACATACGGGCTTCGTACTTTCGAACGTATCATTTGAGAAATTAAGCATCCATATGGTCGAATTCATGCGCAAGTGACATAAACGAGGACTCACTAGAGATTCTACACTGATACCCTTCGCCATAATGTACAACGTCAAAACCGAATTGAAATCAAAATCTGTACAATTTAGGTTCGAAGAAAACATAATATCGACGAAAACTCGGGGCTGCGCCTAATTAATTAGCCCCAAAAAGGGTGAAACCGACCGTGAGATGTCGAGGAGTGTTCAGCTGCCTTTATGCGTACACTGGTGTTCATGTAGAATATACGGTTGTTTAAAACCCAAGGAATATACCTAACGGATATGCCCAAGAGGGGCGGGACGGGTAGTGAACCTCCGGGGAGATTTCCACCACACCGCGAGTAGTGTATCATGCCGAGTAGAAGGAAAACAACTGCTGGTATTTTACCAAAGCGGCTCTCTCTTCAAAATGATCACAGGTAGATCATTCTAATGACCCAAGCGTGGTAAACTACTGAAGTGTTAGCAAATTGGTCTAGCTTCGGCAAAACTGACTGTGCAATTACCTGGCATATCACTACCAGGTAACAGCTACCTCTTTGTAGTTGGGTTAGGTTCTACTGCAACTGGTGTACCAGTCGACCAACTTGCTGCCACCGGCTGATCAGGAAATATGGACAACATTCATTGTATAGTGAAGTATCTGAAAATGGCAGATCCGACAACCCATGTGAAGGTGAAATATTGAGTCACAAGTAAAAGTTAACGGTTTGGAAGGCCATAGGAAGAATCGAAATAAACCAGCTTCAATTCTTAAAATCTCTTGAAAAATACGGGTTTTTGAACTCCCAGTTTGGTGCCTAATGTGTAAAATTTTTGCTTCAAACGGGATCAGATATTGGTTAGCACCGCATTAAAACAGGGATCTTTATAGTCCCCGAATAGGATTTTCCCCTCCAACAAAGTGGCCTTTTCGTCCACGTCTGACTGTTGGATCCTATTAGGGGGATTACTGTTTTCGCCCAATGTATACACAAACAAACCCCGCTAAAGTGCCACAACAATGAACTCACACTGCCTCCGCCACACGTACTCACAACTGTCCCATCAGTCAGAAGACCATTTATAGTTTTGATTTTACGAAAGACTAACTTGGGTAAGTGAGGTTTTCGTGTTCAGCTGAATCTGCATTTTTTTGTCCCTCGTCAAATATTACCACTAGTGGTCAAGGGATTCACCTACAGGCGTCTGCCTCTAACATTGAATTACTCTCTCGGTCAATCATTTAATCACGTCACATGACTCGAAGTCTTACATTTTATTCGAAATGAGACCCGTTGATCCTGCATATGAAATGGTTGGGAAAGTCACTGGTCTGCTTAGGGTTTTTGGTAAAATGTCCTAAAACTGGGGCGGTTTTGAAACTAGATGTAATGGGACTGTAAGTTATCACCGGTTATCGTTTAGTATGGGAAGTCCCACCCCAAGTCAGTTACGTAATGCAGTGGAAAACATTTATTGGATTCATAACCATTAACTCGGACAAATAGGCTACTCATTGATGTACTCAACTGTGAACATTGTGAACAGGCGAAAATGCGGAATTCTTTTTACGGCATTTTCTATTATCATTGACCTGTGAATGGATCAGTGATGAACGCTAAGTAATAAAATATTCAGCACGTTTCGTTCTGTTTAACGATGCAACCAAACTCACTCGTTAATCAAAGTGTTTTGGGAATTAAACGAAAATAATTCGGGTAGTCATTGCAAGAAGGTTCCTCCAAGTTGATTTATAATGGTGAGTGAAACAATGACTTGAATTTCTGAATTTTTAATACATAATTGGGCGTGTGTGTGGTGAAAAGAATCTGCACTAAATAATGTCTTGGACAGGCGGTTTCCTTAGAAGTTCGAAGAACTGATAGTGGACATTGTCACTGCCTAACCTGCATGTTCATAATCCAATATAAATGTGGAAATTGAGCCCAGTGGTAAGAACAGAATGATATCATCTGTGGCTTGCACAACGTAGTGTCCATGTGACCACACAGCCTCATTGGGATTCTCCGTCGGCCATCTTAACCGCTGAGCCTCAGCCACTTCTTTTTCTTGGTCCGCTGTTAAAGTGTACTCTTTTGCACCTATAATCCGTATTCCTTTAAACAGATAGGTGACATCCAATTGGTACGGCTCTGATGGTAAAGGAAGCCCGTTTTCCGGAATTAAATGTTCAAAACGAACGAGCAGTTGATCTGAGGCCGTTCGACGGGCGGTCGATCGCAGCAATGGCCAGGCGACCAAACTTAGCAAATGCAACTGAGCCGGAAGAGAAATGTTGAGAGCATTCCACTCACCGGAACTGCTCGGCGGCTGCTTAACTGGTGCAAAGGTAACCACGGGAGTTCTGGTCAACAGTCGCGATGCAACCGGGTCTTCTTTTTCGATGATGGCCAGTTCGTCCAAACGCAAATGATGACGACCGCGAACGATGAGTCCTGTGGAATAAAAAACATGTGTATAGATTGAAACCGGCTACTTCACAGAAGGGGTGAAATTACAACTGACATGACAATCTGTGTAATGGCAGCTAACTGTTGACATGTTTAAGCAACACACTGCTGTCAGCGATGAGATAACTTCGACTGTTCAGAGCACTCAAAAGAGTTGTCGGTACGGTAGATCATGTGTTTAGCTTTACCAGCGCGCCTACATTCACATTACTCAAGTACGAGGACGGTTGTATTAGTGAAGGGATCTGAGCAATAGAAACATTTGCAAGGACCCGAAAATTCGTAATGACATTTTATTATACTTTAATATTCTATTATTATTACTTTTACACTAACGTATTCTCTTTGAAAGTCAAGTTTTGTCATATATCGTGTGCCTTGAATGAAATAAAGACAGTTTTTCTGCATCCGAATGATAAGGTATAAATTAGTAATAGGTGATGTGATTGACCGTTCTGTTCGTTTTGAGTGAATATGCACTGAGGTTACCTTTTGAATCAGAACCTTGTTCCATTAGTGGCTCACCCACTCCATAACCATCGTCACGAACCAATCGACGATGGAGCATTATTTCGATCTGACCGTCATGCAGACTGCTTGCACCTTGAGCTCTATCCGTATAGACGGCGAATCCCATCGCAGGTACCGAGTTATCGGTGGCTGCACTGCCTTTGAGCATAATGCGGTTTATGATGGGATAGTAGTTGCCAGCGACCGGTTGAGTTTCTACAAATGTTGGTGAGACATTCCAATCGGGTCTTTGGTTACGAAGTCTTCGGATAAGACGACGTCCCGAAGAATCAGTGAAAAATTCACCTTAAAACAACAAAGAACCAGAAAAGGATGATTACTTTCTAACCATTTAAACCAAAAAAATATTGCAGAAAATCGGCGAGGTAATAAATCAGAAGTATTTGGTATAAAGCTCTTAGGGCGTAAGCATAATATTTGCAATATATTACTGTGTTTTGATCGTATTACTAACTCACCGCGAAGACTGTATCACTGTTCATGTGGGCTTCAACACCAAACTATTAGGGGAACCTAGAGACAAGGTACCTTCATGTATAATCTCAAAATTGCGTAAGTCCTCATAAACAGGCTCTTGTAAAAAGGCAGCCGATTTGTCTAATTATTGATATCCAAATCTAAGAGTCTATAATAGAGGTTGGTCGTTAATACATATCTCTCTTGATTAAAGGTGACGCATTAATAATGGGTAAACTAGGTTATTCTCTTCCGCAAGTTCTTCTTAAGTAACGTTTCAGATGAGCTTGGTAAACAATCAGTAGTTTTTAATTGGGCAACGTTTCCGGAGCGGGTACACTCTCCACTCTGCACTGGTGCGATTGAAGGATCGCCTCCTGGTAAACAAAATCAAGGACCGTCTACAAAAGTAAGTGTAACGACTGCGCTAAGGTCTGTATAAGACAGACGGTAGGGGAACTACACATCAGAATCTGAGAGCATAGTAGAAAAATAGACAGGCCGCCGAGAAACGCAGATGAATATCAAGTGTTACTGAAAGACTCGGCAATCGCGGAACATGCACTGAATACAAAATAGACTTAGAAAATTTCGATGATTTGAGGCCAGGACTACGGTCCACGTCACAGAGACTGATAACCGACGAGGTGGAAATCGCCAAGCATCCCAGTGTTAACAGAATAGGAGTGGAACTGACAAGCAGAACGGTATTGGTTCAATCGAGCTAAGACGTGTTGGTGTGCAATTTTCAGAGGGAAGGGTAGTCATCATCTGGATTCCACTTAACCCTACGCACTTCCCCTCTCCCCCCCCCAACTAAATTGTCGCAATATTCACATTCCCAAGAAGATCAAGGAAAATCTACCAGTGGCACCCGAGATGATTCATCAAATGAAGCACCCTGAAGGGGAGATTAAGGAACAAAAAGCGATCGGAACCAATCTGAAACTCCTCCAACCTAGCAATCCAAGATTTTGACAACCACAGTAGCCGACAAGAGCCGTTAACTGACACTCAACACTGATCTAGTGTGATAATCTGAGGAGCTTTTACTGATTGGTTCCCCGTCTGTCTTATAACCTGGCCTATTTGGTGACCTGTTAACTTGGCCTGGTGAAGCTTTTGTGTCAAAAGCGAAACGTTGTCCAACTAAAAGCTACCATTTGTTTATCAAGCTCTTCTGGAATGATGACTTCTCAATCGGTTCCAAACCTTCTCCTTAAGTAGTTCGAATACTCTTTGACTGTCATATCAAGGAAAGTCGCAGTTTCGCTGTTTGTGGCCTCTACATAAATAATTATTTATGCATCTACTACGTGACATCTCATACAGTTATATCTTCACCATGCAGCTGTTCATCACCTAGTCTTCATCACCAATGGCAGCGACAGGAACAACGAAAACAGTGATATAATCCTGAAAGGGGCAATAAAACAGGAAAATGAGCTCGATTTCATCAGAGATATTTTTGCGTATTGAATACAGATACTACTAATGGACCAGAAGCCCTCTAAACGTTAACATTTTAAAATTCAGTGAAACTGTGACCGGCTGTCTGAATAAAAGTCAGATCAAGTGTCGCTTAACATTTGTAACGCATTTGTAACAAAAAAACATGAATCCATCAATCTAACATCCTGGTCTCTAACTCAATTCATTTAATGACCGAGGCTAATCAGTTTCCCAGAAGTAAGGTGACTCTAGCTGCTAGGCTGTTGACGTCTCTTACTTTATCCAAACGAATAAAATCCGTCTTCCTTAACAAGAATACTGGGATCAGTTGGACTTCTAACGCGTTCTTTTTAACAAGGAATGGTTCTGGAAATATAATCACTGTTGCAAAAATTTTGATAGATAGACCCCCGTGTCTGTATTACTGTTTCAAGTGCCTGTCTATATAATCGATGCGTCGACGCTATCTTAGTTCTACCTCTGGTTAACATTTCAGTCTATTTTTGACATTTTAGATGATGTTTACCCCATTGGAAAATCAATTTGGTCTTGCGGAAAACTCAACTGGAACCCTGTTGGATCTCTCGTTTATGATGGTTTATTACTAGTGCATTACGCCTATATACGTATCCCGATATCTCAAAAATCGTACCAGCCGAAACATCAGGCGGTCTGGTGCAGTACTTTGAGTTGTTTGAAGACATCATAAACAAGAGATTCAACTGCATTCCCGTCGAAATCAAACTGGTAGGCAAGTAAGTATAGTTCGCTAACTTCGTGCAGTTTGGGTTCAATTAGAACACAAGACTGACGGATACTCGGAGTTTTCGCCTACCTGATGAGCCCCAAGAAAGACAAAACCTGTCGTGGGCTGCCGAGGGATTTTCAGCAACCTTATGATTAGTGATACACGTCTGTACACGTTCACCCCAGTCCGCCTATGACCCAAGGAACACAAAATAGGCGAGCAAAAAACAATCCAGAAAAGCTCCAACTAAAGATCTGGTGAAAGTGACTCTCGCCGCTGTTCTAAAATGTTTGTTACCTTACATAGAAAAACGAACACTTTACCCGATTGGAAAAGCACAGGAAATAGCAATGTGCTTACATTCAACGGTGTTCGTACCTCAACATCAAGCAGAAATATCCGTTCGCAGTGAACCACAGTTAAAGGGCAACTCATTTGCCCCTAAACTTGACTACAAAAATAAAACCCCGAATTTGGGACGCTCATTCTGCCTCACACGTCATCTGCAAGTTCACATGGAGTTGCGGTTATATCTAAATCACCAAAACCGATCGACATTTTTCACAAACTATCTCAGATGGCATTGGAACTGCGTTGCAACTACTACACGAGTCAGCACTATTGATGGGAAGGACGAAAGAGAGACCATCGATTGCCAAATGTACCACTGAGGTCTAATTTGTTCCGCTCTTATTATCTTTTTGTTCACAACAAATTACAACCCCCCCCCCACACCCTAGAGACGAAGCTCTCCTCGACCAATTGATCTGACATGTAAACTACACTCATTAATCAATGGATGGGTTGATTTTCTATATGGCCCTTCTAGATCACTGAGTCATGGTAAGCAGCTATTCGAATTTACAGATATGTCCGTCGTTGTTTCCCTGGCCCTGGGTAAATTCCCTATGCGCCCTGTGTTGCGCACAGGGTGGTGATAGATGAGATTACTGGTGAGAGGTCATTCGTTGAATGGTTCTTCTTCCACGCTCCCACTTAAGGAGACTCACCGCGTGCGCCTTTCTGATGGATCACCTCAAAGCATGTTTACTGGCGCACAACAACTAAAACCATCTGTTCAGTCTTGCGCCCGGGGACAGTGAGTTCATGGATTTAACTTGAACAAACCCAATGTTTTCCTGGTGAAAACTCTCACTGCTAACATGCCATGTATTCACAATCAAGAGTAAATAACAAAGTCGTACACAGCAGTGTACAATTAATGAGTTTTCCCTGTAAACACACAATAATGTCTGTTAGATGAAGTGTCAAAGTTTGCACCGAATAAGATCAAAAACCGAATTTTGCGAATGTTGTGTGGCATAAATTTCGGTATCAGCAAGACAATCTTGTTTACTCAACTTTGCGTTAGGCTTCCTGCGTGTGACTTCATGCCAAGCATGCGCTCAATAACCTCATACAAATACACACTTGTCTATATGAGGACGGTCAATAAAGATACAACCACCTGCATGTTAGCGTTCGTGAAAACGCCAATAGTCAGTCATCTAACTGGACAAGTGGGACATCGCAGTATCATCATACGAACAAGGAGCAAACGTGTGGTGAATTTCTCTTCATTTACACTTCGGACAGTCCAACCACTGGTTACTTATAGTATATGATGCGATAGGATTGATGGCAGATGTAGTAACGGTGCAGGTATTTTGGCCCATAGATATTTTGGTCAGTGCACGTTTTGAGGTGTGAAACCAAGTGTGGTTCATCGGCACCAGGGATAAAAAGGAGAAACATGATATAGGAAATTGACGGACAGTAAAGTTATTGTGCGGAGCTGGCACAAACGTTGGCCAATACAAACGAATAAATCAGCTGTCTAGATTTGCTTGCATCCGAGAGGGATAAGTTGAAGTCGTTTTTCATAGTACTGTGGAAATTGCAACCTCTTGCTAGGCTAAAAGATTTACCGTATGTCTACGTAACTCGGATCGGTCTTAGAAGCATTATCCTCCCTGTAGTTGGCAGGGAATAACGTTTGTAAGCGAGGGAGGCCCATTTGCAAAACAGCTTGTTCTTCATTATAGACTCAAATGAATCCCAGCTGAATCCCTTGTTTATGGTACTGATAGACTGAATGTGCTTCTCAAAGGCCGTCTCATGTAACGGTTGGCAGGAACATGAGACGGTCTTCGAGCAGTGCGTTTTGTTGAAGAACCTCAAAAACGAGTCCATGTAACTAGTTTTTCGAGTTACTTGACCACTTAGGAAGGGCAATCGGGAGAGAGCTCTCTTACCGGATGCCTTTCGAGTAGAAAAAAGTATTTGCTGTCTAGGTTCCCGATGTGGAACTTTGAGTGACGCATAGGCTCGTCAATCCCAAATATCAAAAGGAAGAATTGGGTTCGTAATTCTACGGTACGGTTGACACAATTGTAAGCAAATGTGCACAACAAACAGCAACTTCTCACGTTCGTAGCGTTAACAAGTATTTCATTTTGTTCGTGAGATTGGATTGACAACCCGATCTATTTGACACCAAGTCACATTTGCAGTCTTACCATGGACCCGTTCCGGCATGATCCCCTGCTGGGTCCTGGCTCTTCCCATAACAATATGATTCGAAGACTTCGGCTGTACTGGACGAATTAGGGGAGAGCTTTGCTGAAAT